GGAACAACTTACCTCCTGAGATTCGCGTGGCTCCCTCGCTGGGTATTTTCAAGAATCAATTAAAAACATGGATGTTTAGGCAGGCCTTCCCATCAGACAATTCCTGACGCCCTTTTTTCCTCTCCTATAGCTTTCCTATTTTGTTTAGTATTTTCTGATATGTAAAATTGTTTTTATATGTACATTTATTGTATTATTTTTATGTTGTTAGCCGCCTAGAGTGGTCCTGACATGACCACATAGGCGGGATATAAATAAAATTTAATAATAATAAAATAATAATAATAACCATCAGTCCAAGAGGCAAGAAAGCCAACACATCTCAGTGCCTTATATACACACTAGTATAGATGCACAACATTAATGTAGACATGCACTGATTTTTCTTTCTTACTGACTTCAGTAAGACTTACTATCATCAAGGTATGTATAGGACTGCAGAACAGAAGTTACTCCTCCCTAAAAGCTAGGGATTCTTACCCTCTAACCCTCCCTTGCTCAATATCATTGTTCTGTGCATTAAAAAGAGGCAAGGTTGGGAACCTGCATCCTTTTGGTGTTTACTGGACTCAGGAGCCCCCATCATCCCTAACCTAGTGAAGGGTGACCCATTAGGGCAAGTAGGATATTGAAACACCTCAGTGTTAGGTCACCTCTAGCCAGCGTACTCCTGCTGATGAGAATGCCCAATGTATTCTCCTCCTGTTGAACTCCAGCCTGATCACACTCTTTGTATGTGTCTTGGAGGAGAGGATGGCAATGATAAGGCGTCTTTCCTGACAACCAGCTGAATTGCGAAGCGGAGGAATGGGGTGGGGATAAGGCAGCCTCCCGCCCATAACCTGCCTGTTTCTCTGTGCATGCGTACACACTTGCTTGGCTGGTGGTGTGTATACAGTAGATACCCACTTCTGGCCTGGTTCTACTTGTCACCCCCAGCTCTGCCTACTGTCAGGTTTCTCTGCCTGTTGCACCACCTGCCCCTTTGGGCACAGCTGCCAATGCCCTACCACTACACATACCACTAGTTGTTCCAGCCAGCACTGATGAAACAAACGAACACTGGAGTCTGAAAACATCTTATGAACACTGGGTTCTTAACCATAATTTAAAGTGTTCTTCACATTAACAGATTCAGGACTATCAGGTGATGGAGCAAATAAGTGCTCCATCTTGCTGCTAGGGCCAATCTAGAAATAGTTTTCTCCATCTGATGTTCCTCAGGCCAAATTGAAGACGGATTCACTTTCCCCAGCTGCTCTCTTTCTCACATTCCGCCCTTCCTGCCCTTCCCTTTGCTTAAAACTGAGCCTTCATTTGGAAAGATGCAAGGACCCCCTGCTGCTTAAGCTCAAAGACAGCATGGATTTATTGGACTAGTTTATATCCCATTTTTTAAACACAGCAGCTTTACGGCATGTGTCCATGACAGCCATACAAAGATGAATGAGACCATCTTAAAGCTAAAGTTTTCCAAGCACATAATCTCTATGCTGCAGAAAAGACTGCATGACTTCAGTATTTTTGCCCTATGTTTTTACATCTACCCGTGCCAGTCCTACCATTAACTAAAGTCAGGCAGGCCACTTCCAATGGCAAATCTCAGGCACTGAAGCTGTCAATCTATTGCTGTTCAATTTAAGATTATGGACACGGTCCAGCAAAAACTTTTATGTTCCAGGGATTTCAAATCATTTCCATGGAAATCAATGAGGCATAACATCTGGTTCCAAAGTGAACCCAATCAGTACTGCATGGACTTCTATTTGCATTTTCCACCTGAGGCATCAAAACGTATTTGGGGAATTTTGAGTATGTTCCCAAAGCAAACATCATCTGACACAACATGCATGTATTTGGGTATAAGTTTCAAAGAGCCAGAAATGATCTGCTAGATGCACACACTATAGCAGCAAGCTGTGAGAAATAAAATTAACTCTTTTGCTGGAAAGCAAGTGTCTGGACCCAACAGGAACCAAGGACATTTGACTTCCGTAGGCTCAGATAACAGAAGCTATTTGTACGATTCTTCTTTCAAATACAAGACATTTGAATATCTTACATTTGGCTACAGCCCTTACCCTGAGGAAACTGATAAAGGTGTCAAGCTGGGTTTCTAAAGGAGCTCCATCTTCAGGCAAAGGTAATCGATGATACCTATCAACAAAGAGTGCCACAGGGTAATTACAGGGATCTGAGAAATGGAAAATCATTTTAAAAGCCCCTGAATTCAAAGGTTCAAAATAACTTTCAATTTAACTGCAGTGGCATGGAATAATGAAGTAACTGGAACAAGACTGTCAAACCTCACTCTGTCCATCTCTCCTATAGCATCGTCACAGTGCTTGTTCCATTATATGCCTTTGGGCAAGGTTAAGCTTCTAACACTGCACAATGACTCAGTAGTATAACTTGTAAAATCAAAATTAAAGACATGTTTAATTAAAGTGTGTAATGTTTTTTCTTCCGTTTTTAATATTAAACCCAAAGAGGTACTGCCAAAAGTTAGACTTTTAGGTCTGAACATTAATTCCTCTGATGTTAGAAAAGTAGATATTAATGTTGCTGTTAATGTTTAAAACTTAAAAATGTTTCATTTGTTAAATCAGCATTATTCATTTCTTAATTAAACTGATAGCTTAAAATAAACAGTGAGGTTTACAGAGAATGGCATGTAGGTTATCACTACATTCCATCGGTAGCACACTCCTCACTGGATCCTAAGAATGCTCTTTTTTTCACTTTGGAATTGTCTTCCACAATCTGGCATTTTTCCCCAGGCAGGCTACAAATCCCACAATACAACTGTTAGCTAGGGATAGTGATTCCAACACAACAGATTGGAAAACACTGTGTGTCCCACTCACCACCTACAGAAAATGAGGTGCCCACGCCGATCCACCAAGACAAATTAATGGCTCAGAGCCAATCATTTCTCTGATTTCTTTCAAATGCACATCTTTAGCAGAACCCCATAGCAACTGTGCCTGAAGGTACATCCTTAACAAAAAGCTGCCTGAGCCTTACTCCCCCATCAGTTAGACAGACTCAGAAATTCTGCCCATTGGCTTCTGGGAGTTGCCACTCAAACACAATTGAAGTGTGAAGCTTAAGGACTGGCATTACAGACCTAGTTCTCCTGAAGAGGTGCACAGGTGCCTTCTTTAGTGCAATGAACACACAGCACAAGCATACGTCTTATTTTTAAAATGTCAGATTAAACAGTTGCTTTCCCCCCACCCCAACTGGTGGAAATGTAACAAGAATTAAAGTGTTATTTCCAAGTTCTAGTTATTATTTAGATGATAGAGTGAGAAAAGAAAACCCACTCATGAATTATATAGCTAGAAAAAACAGCTATCGTAAATTATACAATTGGTGGGAATGACTGTCTTCCTCAGACAAAATTACCTGTAAGATGGCAGCAGGAAGACTGGTCTCTTGTAGACTTCCTCTGTCACATGGATGTCTTCCTCACAGTGGATGCTCACTGAATGTGGCTCATCTTTGAAATGCTCAATATCATTGTAGACATAGTACGTATTCTCACGCAACTGGGCAAAGTCATGTATCTTCAACAGATAAATCCAAGAAACCAACCTGAGAAGAGCCTTGCTTTATAAAACACACCAGCACAAATTCTGTATATCCATTTTTTCCCCTCCCAAGAGCTACCATTTGGCCTCACCAATGTTTTATCACAGAAACATGAAAGCCATTTTCTTGTGGTCCTATGCTGTTGCAGTAAAGTTCCCAGTTACAGTAGGACTGAGGAACCTTTGACCCCACCAATGCTTTGGCCTAAAATTCCTACAGTTTCTTACTACTGGTCATACAGAGGAATGTCTGCTGGGAATTATAGGCCAAAGCAATGAAAGAGCCCAAGATCCCCCATAATTGAGCTGAAGCAGAACTTCAAACACCCCAAATCTTTATCCACCCAGAGGTCACAGCAGCAGCACTGCACTAAATCACCAGAATGTGATAACCAGGTTATCACAGTAAAGTTCCTTTTAGGCCAAAGTGGGCAGCTTTGTCCTCTCCAGGGCCTTGGAGGGCTACATCCCATAAAAGGTCTGAAGCCTGAGGGGCAGTGTGGGGGGGGAACTGGTGCTATCAGAAGCTTCAGGAATCTGACACTGTGAGGCAATTCTGGATTCCTCATGGGCCCTAAAAGGCCTCCTTTAGAAACAGGAAATGACCAATTAGTCACTTTCCATTTCAAGAGTAACTTCAGCCTTTTCTGGCGTTAAAATAGTTTGGGGTAGGGAGAGATTACATTTAAAGGGCAAACTGTGTACAGTCGTGCCTTGCTTAATAAGCGCCCCGTTTAACGATGAATCCGCATAGTGATAAGGTTTTTGCGATGTTTTATATGGCCAAAAATTGCTTTGCGATGATCGGCAAGCGTTTCACTTACCGATTTTCACATAGCGATGTTTTAAAAACAGCTGATCGGCGGTTCCAAAATGGCTGCCAGAAAAATGGCCGCCCGCACTGTTTTCGCGCCCTTTCCTCGCTTACCGGGCAGTGAAAATGGTGGCCGGATGGAGGATTTCCACATAGCGGTGAGTTTTTTCCCCATAGGAATGCATTAAACGTGTTTTAATGCATTCCTATGGTTTTTTCCCCCCGCATAGTGACGAATCCGGATAGTGATGATTTTTTCGGCACGGATTATTGTCGCTATGCGGAGCACCACTGTACTCCCAGAAATTGAGGGGGGGGGGAGAACGCAAGGTTCAGAGGGACACACTGTGGGTCTCATGTCGAAGGTGAGCTGTATTTTGCTTTAGGCCTTTCAGCCGCATGACCTTGCAGTTCAAAAGCACAGATATCTCAGAGGGCCCCAAGCACTCCATAGCCATCTCAGCCACAACATTTACTCTCAGTAGTAAAGCACATGCTCAACACACTAACTGAAGCACATCTGCATGTTCTAGATATATTACTGACTGATCAACAATTGCTAACTGGAGCGCCTGACAAAGTAACCAACAGTGTCTGAAATAAAGCTCACATTGTGTCTAAGGAGACCCCAACATTGTCATATAAGTGAGAAGCCACTGAGAGGAATACAGTGGGCTACCCTAACTGTAGCATCTCTTTACACCACTCAAGATCACCTCTTTTCGAATAGAGAGCTCCAAGGTTTCTACTTTGACATCTTTCTGCAAGTTATGCAAATTTTCATGCAGGTTCTCTTTTCCTCTAGGGGTATAGGGCAGAAAGTCATTGTCCATTCGCAGAAACAGCACAGGTTCCTCACGAACACAGAATATAATGCATTCCTGCAGAGACAGAAAGAAAGATGTGAGCTAAAGCCACTGTAGCAGTTTCAGCAGTAGCCAGGGGTACCTTTGCACAATTAAAACTAGTGTACCAGCTGTGCCCATTCCTGATCTGGCCATGGCGTCATGTGCCTTAGTTACATCTTGGCTGGATTACTGTAATGCAGGGGTCAGGGAACTTTTTTTAACTTTTACCCCCTAAAAAATTTATATACGCCAACATTACCCCCTTGATTTGAAAAGAAGGATCTTGGTGGCACGTGGCCAGTCGAGCACTGCTGCTGAAGCCTTGCCACCTGGGCTGCCACCGCCACCTCCTTTACCGCCACCTGGTGGGACTGTGCTCAGTCCTTGGCCCCACCGGGGCGGTTCCCTTTCTCCGCCGGCGTGCAGCTCCTAGGTGGCCATCGAAGAGCAGCAGGTGGCTCGACCTCCGGGGGCATCCAACACCACCTCCCGCTCTGGCACCGGCTCCAGTGGCTGCTCGCCGGGGTGGCCACGGGCCTCGCTGTCAAAGCACCATGACAGCTGCTGCATGGAGGGCAAGAGGCTCCTCCAGGCCCGGCTGGCCGGCCAGCCAGCGCAGAAGCACTGCTGAAGCAAGCAGTGTGGCTGGGCGAGCTCCGCTGCCACCTGATGGGCTCCTCCAGGGACAGGGCATGGGGTGGCAGCCCAGTGCCAGGAGGCTGAGCCTGGCCCAGGCCACTGTCATGGTTACACCCTCCCCCCTCCGCCGCGATCCACCTCTCCAGACACCGGAAGGAGAGGCTCCTCCTGGCTGGGGCGCTCCAGCCACTCGCCCCGGCCTTGCCCTCCGCCATGGCCGCCCCCACATTGGCTGCCGTACGCTGCC